GTTTTATCCAGAGTGGGCTACAATCTCACCCTCAGATAGGTTTGGTCAGCGACCCTAACGATAATCAAAGCCGCGTATTGTAGAATATATTTTTGACCTTTTGTCACTTCACCACGATGCCATTGTTTACAGTGTATCACAGAGTTTCATTAATTTTGACTTTAATGACAAAGTAGGCTTCTCTCAAACCAAATTGATGACTGAAAACATACCAAAAATTAGCTTCATGTCAGCTAACAAATTGGATACTTTTCTGACTTTCAACGAAATTCATGCCACTTATTTTTTACACTTTTTGCAGGATTGTTGCTGGGGCCAACTCGTGGGACAAGACATATTTTAGACATAAAGAGTAACTGGGTTTCGATGAAACTCCTGATATAACATTATTGTTGGGACTTTCATTTCATATAAAAGTGTATAAAGGAGAGATTCGAAGTTCAATCTCACCAGAAGAGGACGATTGAATCCCATTGTACTTCAAGCGTTTAGCTTTAATACGACGTTGGGATTGATGCAGTCTACGAGACCTCCTCCAGCTTTCCAGGTGAAAACTATCTGAGCTTCCGGTTCATGGCTTCTGAATTTCCCTTAACTCTATTCCATCCTGAATTTCACTTGTTCCCTGCTACAATTGAAAATCTTTGTTTGGCTGCATATGAGCCTTCGATTCCGGAACCCATTGACGTACAATTTCGAAGATTTAAAGACCGATAGTTCCCATGCATAGGCACCTTCTTATCCCCAGGCTTCAGACTCGTCATCCAGCTATCCTATTTCTCACTCCCACCCTTTTCTGTCCTGTTCTCCGGCGTCCTGTGTCTGGCTTGATCCCGAAACGCTGAATCGCGTATAGAGGACTCTTGCCTTTCAAGTTGACAATCCCACCCAATGTTGGAGTACCTTTCATTTCGTTTGAAGAGGCGAGTGTAAAGGATTCGAAAGCTGCTTCCACCGGAGGCAGTGGCGGAGTTGCCTTGGAGTTGTGGCTGTAGATTTGTGCGAATAGGTCTTCGGCGCCTCGCCCTGCGATCCCGATGACTCGTTGCTGAGCTTTCGTCCGTCATGTGACAGACATCGTCAAAGCAGGACACCATGCTTTACGATAATTCACCAAAAATACAAAGGCAAGCAAGGTGGCCGACTTCAAACCTGCATCCTTCTTATAGTCCAATTTGGTCATGTTATGTTTGGATGTCCTATGCTTTGCCTCCATATTTGCTCATAAGTTAGGTTAAGTGGCTGCGGATGACATGTGAAGTGGCTACAGATGAAGCGTAAAATGGTTGCAATTGAAACCGAACAACTGCATCCTCCCCTAAAACACATATGCCTTTGATCCCTTCCAATCGCCTCTTGAAACGAAATAAAAGGTACTCCAATATCAATCTATTATTAAGGAAGTCTTCGAAACCCAGTTTTTTTACAATCCCACCTAATCCTAGGGTTTTAGTCAGTCGTGCATATGCTCGTTGGTTGGTAAACTTCCTAGTCAGGCATGTCACCAGTCACCTCACTACAAGCACATACAAGAAAAATGCACAAGCACACTACGGGTCAATGGATAATGTGATCCCCAGCTCGGTTTCCACCCCTCGATCAATTTGAATTGGACGTAGATCTTTTGCCCAACACCTCTGACGGTGCAAAATCAGCATGTTTTTGGCCTTAAATTTCCTATCTACAGGTGGACCAACATCGTTAACTTTTCAAGCTGATTCCACGTTTAACTTCTCTCTCATGATACTCTTCTCGGTAATTTCTCTCTCGTATAGTGACTAGATGTCCTTGGTCTGAGAATCTTCTTTTAGCTGTCCTCGCTAAATATCCAAGTCTACCCAGGCAATAAGCGAAATTATCGCAGAATCCAATCCAATCTCCTCCAATCTCCTGTTAATCAGGTTTCTTTATAGGAGACTGCCCACTGTCTCCCTGATCTTCCGTTTTATTATGTTCTTCCCGAATAAAGCCTGTCTTTCCGTTGCATTCCAGCGAATTGTGTGGCCGGTAAGGGCAATATTTTCTGCTATCTCTGATCTTTCCGTATCCATTTTTCAGCATAGTTGCTGATGCTCCTTGTGCTGATTGTTCTTCCAGTCTCTCAGAAGTACTTTTGTTTATAGTCCTTGCAGTTTATGCTGCTAACTCCGGAGCCCTACATTTTGCCTACTTTTTTATGTTATGTGGGCAAGCTGGTGAATAGTCTTCCCTTCCTTTAGGATTGTATGGATGTTCTATTTCATTAGTAGAGGCCGCAGCTTCTAAGCCAATTCTCAGAAGGGTTGACATATGAATCGTTTTTCCTCCGTCTTTATTGCTTCCTTTCGTAATCCTTACCCTGCCACCTGATTATCACTATCCATATGTTGCGTTGTATTGCATCTTCTGGATAACCATCACAAAGAAATAGCTGAGTTAGTTTTTACCTTTCCAGGTACCTTTCACAATTTATCCCTGTCGCTCCGATCAAGTTGCGAAGGCAAAGTCAAGCCGACACTATAAATATTATATTGAAATTTAAAACCAAATTACAGCTTTTAATTAGTAATAGCTTCTTTCGGTCGAAACCAATCGGATTCTGTCATCAAACTAAGCATCGCAATGGGAATACTTTGAACTGTCTATTTTCTGGCTTAATAGTGACACACGTTCATCAGAAATTTCTTACAATGCTCATAGCATATATTGAGTGTTAATTTACGATAACCGTGAGTTATATAAGCGGTTTAAAAATAATTTAATCATAGAATGACTTCGTGTTGCTTATGATGTAGGGCACATTAATCAATCTACCCACTGTGATCTAAACAGACACTGTTTAACTTAGCAATCGGAGTATATTTTATCTTGTATTCCAAATCTGCATGCATTGCACTTTTTACCTCTACCAAGTACGACCAGTCCCTTCCAGCCGATTCTCTTATTCTTAAGACAAGATGCTAATTATCCCTATTTCCGAGTTAACTATTCCTATTATTGTGTAAGTAGGGTTTCGACACTACTACTCATATCAGTCTTATCAACACCCTCAGCGGGAGTCGAACCGCAACAGTGCAGGATGGAAGCTTGACACGCTAACAATTCGGCTACACTGCCACGTGTACCCTTGAGTCACAGGGCATAAGTGAATTTCAAAGAAAAGTCAGGCCTTTTTGCTATATCATATTCTTTGGTGGGAGTGCCGATGAAGTAAACGTATGTTTGCTATAGCAATCGACTACATTACTTATATTCGTATGATAGTAGGGTTTCCAGACTACCAGTAAATCAGTGTAATGAGATTTACTGATTTACTGGTAGTCTCGAAACCCTACTATCATACGAATAAAAGTAATATAGTCGATTGCTATAGCAAACATACGTTTGCTTCATCGGCACTTCCACCAAAGAATATGATATAGAAAAGAGGCCTGACCTTCCTTGAAATTCACATATGCCCTGTGAGTCAAGGTTACTCGCTGCAGTGTAGCCGAGTGGTTAGCGCGTTACGTGACCATCCGGCACTGTCGCAGTTCGAATCCCGCTGAGGGTGTTGATAAGACCAATGCGAGGTCGAAACTGCAGTCCACGTGTGCCTGGATGAAAACAACTTTTGGGAAAGCAAGGCTATGTGAAATTCAATGGAAACGTCAGCTCAACTC